TTATTTAAAATTAAAAATATATAAATTAAAAAATATAATTATATGTACAAGATACAAAAACTTATTGAATCAGTTGTATTCATATCATATTTTAAAAGTTAAATCTAAATAAATATTAAAAAATACATTAAATTGAGTGTATTTTAATTATTTTTTATTCTAAAAAATATTCTCTAAAGACACATGAAAAAAAATCAAATATCTTATATTTTAAATGCACAATTCCACGGCATTTGATGATTTATTTAAAGCATTCTTTATACTAATGTCTAAAATAATTCTTCAAAAGATTCTTTTCTATTTCAAGAATCCAATCCATGATATACAATACCATACACTCCTATCTTTTCACCTTTCCTCCAACCAGTCCAATGAACTAATTTGGACGCTTTCAAACACACTTTCGGCATCTCTGGTTTCTTTCCTGTAAAAATGCAACATCAAAACACTTTCCCCAAAGCAGTATTTTGTTGGACCACTAATAACAACCGAAATGGAGATATGGACAACTGACATAGATATTAATCAAGTGTTTTTGAGGCTTTTTGAGTCATCTAAGGCAGCCTTTTAAGGCATCTAGCTAGGCTTAGGCTTAGTGGTCAATAAAAGCAACTCTAAAATCTCGAATAAAAGCAAAAGCTAAAACAATCATATTATTGAAATTCTTTAAATTTGACCGCTTGTAAGCAGTAAAAATCAAATTAGCGACTTCGTCTTTTCACACCCAGACTTTTTTCTATTTTTTTAATAAATTATTAAGAAATGGATTCTAAATTCCATACATAAAAAAAAGAATGCACTTTAAATTAATAAGATATCAGTTGATCCGAAGAATCAAATTTCATATTCAGACTTCTTGCTTACGAACATTCTAGAGAAAAATATGCCCTCACTATATCCTAACTCAAGGGGGTTAAATTTGTTTAGAGACGCTTTAATCGTGAATAATAATAAGAAGAAAAAATCAATTATGTATTTAATTAGGTTTTAACCAAAAAGTAAAGAAGGGATTTGTACAGGCTAAAAATAGTAATTGGCGAGGTTTAGTTTCAATGTTAGCTGAGTAGCAAAATCGAAGCAGTAAACTTCTGATTTAGCTAGGTCACCGGAGGTTGCATCGATAACCGGACTCAGAATGGTAACTCCGATTGAGATAAGTGCAAAGGCAGAGTTTTGCAAATAACTAGTAACAAATTGGAGACTCGTTTGAGCAATGATACTAAGATACCACAAAATTAAGGTTTCTAGAAAAACTAGGTTTGAAGGCATGATTTTAGTCATTACTTGAAAAATATTTGCAAAAGGGTACATGGGTACATATACATACTAGTGTTTATGTACAACAGCAGGGTCAAACCAGGTTAGTTTGAACCATGGTAGAAGCCATGGCATCATGGCTGCACATAGCTACTTCTCCACCAAGGATTATTAATTAGATAGAGAAAAAGTTAGTTTTCTTCTTCAATTTTGTTCCCTACTTTCCCTTTAAGGAATTCAATGAAACTCTCTAAAATGCCTTGGAGCTCGTCACTTCTCATGAGCTGCTGTGCAACTTCCGCGGGAGTAACAGATACTTCTTTAAGAAGATTTTTAATGGTATCAAAGAGATGATGATTGTCGATTTGCAGGTAGGTGTTTGCAAGCTGTTTGAATACTGCGAAAGTGCAGTAACCCATGAAGACATCACGATCAATCCGTCCCGGACGTAACAGAGCAGCGTCCAATTTTTCCTTGTGATTCGTTGTGAAGATGATGAGTCTCTCATCTCCGAAGCTCGACCACAGACCATCAGTGAAATTAAGCAACCCAGATAATGTAATCTGAAGGAAGAAAAAAAAAATCCCTTAAAACTAATCATTCATTGATGGACTAAAATGCAACTTCCTTGTGCCAATAGCCCAAGTGGTAATCTCATTCTAACAAAAATAAAAATTTTTGAGTTCGAGTTATACGACGTATGAATAAGATGGATTAAAAAGTAGAAAGTGATTGTTTCTATCGTGTCATTCAAGATAAAAAAAAAAAAAAGTAACTTCCTTGTAGAAATTAAACTACTTACCCCAGGATCAGAAGAAGAAGGGCTTTGGTCTGACTCGTCTTCGCCATCCTCCTCTTGTTCATCTCTAATCATGGTTCGATCTCGGGATGCTTTTGTGCTGCAGTCTATGTCCTCAACAAGGAGAATTGATCGGTTTGTAGTTGAGGTGAGGATACTTCTCAATTCAGCATCACTTCGAACACTTTGAAGCTGAAGATCATATATATTGTATCTCAACTTATTGGCAATGGCTGCAACCAAGGAGGATTTTCCAGTTCCTGGTGGACCGTGCAAAAGGTATCCACGTTTCCAGCTTCTACCTACTCTCTGGAAAAACTCCTTTCGTTGAACAAAGGTTTCAAGGTCTTTGATTATCTCCGACTTGCTCTCTGGGTCCATAGCCAGAGTAGCAAATGTAGCAGGGTGCTTGAAAACTGCGGATTTCCACCCACCCATACCTTTGTTGTAGGTATGGATGTGGAGGTTTTCACGCTTGCTCAGGATGGTTTGTGCGATGCTGTAAATGTGAGGCAAGTAGGTCGCCATGACTTTTTGTTGGTCACTTTTCTTGCACTTGAGCCGGTACGAGTACCAAAACCCGTTGTCCCAATGGGAACTAGAGGACTTGGTCTCTTTATGTAGAGACCATTCCAATTTCATACCCTGGAACTCGTCGGTTATCTTACAGCCAACCGGAATTCTCAGGTCGGGGTTGTGAGGGACCAATGATGAAAAGGACCCAATGAGGAGACTATCAGCAGAGGTGCCGATTATGGTAGGCAAATATGTCTCCACGGCACGATATGTGTAGTTACTCACTGCTTGCCAGTTTTGGTCAACGATAAAGGTGAAGTTAGGGGAGAAGTAGTAGGACAGTGATTGGGAGAACTTTGAGAAAATGTACTCTCGTATTTGGCTGGGAACCATGTCAGACAACATTGTGCGGAATAGCATGATGGCGGCGGAGAGGGAAGCATAGGCGGAGAGGATGGTGGATATGGAAGGCAGTTCACTCAAAAAAGAAGCCATTGTTGCTAATCTCTCTGTTTTTGAAAAAGATACAGGCTGTTTTTGCTAGAGAACCAGAGGCACTTAAGTGTGATATATACACGGCAAAATCTTATTGGTAAGCCCCTAGACTATTCCCATTTTCACATGTAAGCCCTTAAACAAAAATTTAGTCTTATAAGCTCCCAAACACCACAATTTGCGCAAGTTAACCCTTGGTACGAAATGGAGGGACCACGTGACAATAACAAGCCTTAATCTTCTCACTCGTGTGGCACTTTTTCTTCATCATGATGTGATATTGTCATTACTACATGTTTAAGAATTTGAAAAATTAAATTGTAAAATTTGAAAAGACATCAAATAATAAAATTAGAATGGAAAAAAAAAAGGTTGATTCATCTTTTTTGGTCATGTGACCATGTGACAATAGCAGGTGTTAATCTTCTCACTCATGTGGCACTTTTTCGTCATCATTGATGTGGTATTGTTATTATTACGTGTTTAAAAATTTAACAGATTAAATTACAAATTTTAAAGCATTCTTAATTTTGATTTATTGATTTGGGTGCATCATACTTTTGGTAATTGTTAGAGTTTTAATCGCTACAATAACAACTTATCTAATAGTTCTGCTACCCCTTTTCCCTCAATTCCCTCTGTTTAAAAGAAAAAATACAAAATTTGAAAAGATATCAAATAATAGAATTAGATTGAAAAAAATAAAATTTAAGGGTTGATTCATCTTCTATTATTGCCACATGCGTCTCTCTGTCAAGGGCAGGCTAATTTGGACCGATCCTAGCATTTAGGGGCTTATAAGGCTAAATTTTTGTTTGAGGGCTTTTGGGCTTTTGTGCAAAAATAGAGTTAGCTTAGGGGCTTAACAATACAAGATTAAGAAATGCTTGATTGGTTAAGCCGTTCGTGGCACGCCAACATTGGAAAATGGTACTATTAAGTAATAAAACAATGGCTTGAACTCCGTAACACTAGCTGCATTAGATTAGAATATAAATTTATTAAGGTTAAAACCTTCATTTCAGTTTTTGTGAAATTAATTTTCCATTTCCTAAATTTTTCATGTTGGAAAAAAAAAAAAAAACAATGAGCCTGAACTGAAGTTGACCTGGTCTTCAAATTTAAATACTACACCTAAGTTAACGGAGAGAATACCACACCCCAACCCTTTTTCCTTGCCTTCAGTCCATCCGTCCAAGGTCTTAATTTGGACTAATATGCTTTACTTTTTTTT